TGGGGACGGGTGGGGGGGTGCGGGACGGGTAGCCTGGCATTGGATTCCTTGCGGGGCGGGCGGTGGGATGGTAGCGGGTGGGGTTCGGTAGGTGTCAGTGTGCGGGTCCCTCGCGGGGCCGGCACTCCGCCCCGGGGACAGTGACCTTGGCCCCGAGTGCGCGGGCACGCTCCCGGCGGGAACTGCGCAGCGCCTCGGCCTTTCACCAGGGATGCTCCTGATGTATCCAGAATCGGGGTGCACGCCCCGAAGGCGACCGGTCTTCTTCCGCAGCCCCTTTACGCGTACTCGCCTTTATGTTTTATTTATGGATTTGGAAAGGGTGATTCGCGCATGGTGAAGTGCAGTGATTTTTGGCCCTTTTAGCGTGAACATCCGAAAGCAAGTAAAGATAGGGTCAGTGTTTTAGCTGTGACGTGCCCTGAGCCAAGGACGGCAGACATGCCCACATGCCAAGACCTGACAACTTCCTTCTGCTGGAATCTTCTGGAAGCAGCTCTGCAGTCTTTCAGGGTGGATGCCTTCCGTATAGCTTGTCAGGAAGTGCAGGTCAAACCCACCCTGAGGGGTGCCAGGACAGATGGAGTTTGAGCACACACTGATGGGTTTTGGACACTACAGAGGCTGTGAAATCGAGACTGCCCTGTTCCCCTCCCCCACACTAGTGGACAAGCACCAAAAATTGTTGTAGCTACTAATTTACAGAATGTTCATTATCAGGCTTGATAATTACATATAAAGGTTGTCAGAATTATGGGTGGTAGGTATTGTGAGTAAATGGAAAGGAAATTCTTGTAATCTTTTGAGTAGTGAAATGGTTCCTGTTAAAATGCTGTGAAATGGGTAAGGCAGAAGGGTCATTGGCCATCTCTTTATGGTTAACTTAGAATTAAAAAAAAAAAATTTCAGTTCATCCTGCAATTTTATTTAGTACTGTTTCTGAAAGCACCCAAATATCTTATTCAGAATACAGTAACCCTATTTACTTAGTTTTGGAATATCTGAATTAATGTTACTTTTGGTGGAGTTCTTTGTGACTCCAGTTTAAAGAGATGATACATGAGAAACAAAGGGTTCTTGGTCACTTAAGTTTAGGAAACAGTGGTATTCAGGTTCTTTTCTCTTAGGGCCACAGTTCACATCACCATATTGCTGTAGTATGTTTGGCCTGATTCCTTTCTGTTTGGTCTTTAGTGCTTTACATATCTTGCGTCACCTGTGAAATCTAAGTAATGGTGAAATAAATGTTAGTTTATTGGTGTCCCACAGTGTGTCTTTGGTAGTGGAACTTTTTCCTTAATTGTAAATTGGAAGGTGGATAGGGTTTTGTGTACTTGTGTATTTTATGTGCAATACCTCAAATTTGGTTCTTGCTCTATTGAAAATCATGAGAATTCATTTAACTTTCTAATCTTACCTTGTTGCACACAATTACATGTCACTGGTCTCACTCTTTGTTAGCATTTTTTTCCTGTTTGTTAGAAATGAGGATACTGCTTTTTCTGAATAGACAATTATGTGGATTATTTAAAAAATTAAAACTAATGCCTTGGGTATTTCTTTTAATTTTGCCGTTAAAATCTTAACTTATGGAGAAGGAGCAGTTTGTAGATACACATACTTATGTAAATTCTTTTTACTTATTAGATATTTTCTTTCCTTTTTCTTGAATGAAAAGAAATTGGAAGAAGGGAATGAACTATTTTGCCTAAGTGTTGCAGAAGGGTGTGATTACCTCTTGACTTGCAAATGAAGGTAGTATGTCCTTTTAAATAAAACTTCTGGGTTGAAACCCTCTTCTCCGCATTTCCAGAGCCACTTACCACCAGAGTCATCATGTACCCTTCTTAAACTTTCTCTTGCTCAGTTGTAAATTGGGATGAAATTTATGATGGAAAGCTACTAGGATTAAATGAAACAAATTTCTAGAGTTCCCAGTATAGTTCCTGAAAGACAGCAGCTGGCGCCAGTGGTGGTTGATTGCCTTCTTCCCCCACTTGCAAAGGATAGGAGTAACTTTTTTTTTCATGTTGAAATAAACTAGTTGTGCCCCAGTATTCAATTTAATTCATAATCAAATCTTTATTGGGTGCTTATTTTACGACATTAAAATTTCCAGAATTTCTTTCTAGAGCAAGTTACATATGCACACTCTGCAGAAGATGTATCCTTGGAGACCTTGTAGTCTGGTAGGGAACATGCTCATGGTGAGGCGGTTCTGTACTTCAGTGCCTGGGAAGTGAAGTGCTGTTCTGGAGGGTCAAGAATCTATAGAGAAGTGGTAAAAGCATCCCTGGAGGGGCAGCAACCTTGATGGAGAGTGGCTGAGATCATCCTAGATTTGAATCCCAATCCAAAGATAGCTGTTGTTTTCATCTATATGTATTTATTTGTGATAAGTGAAGAGGTCTCTGATGACAAGATAGGTTCCAGTGAGGTCACAGCTATTCCTAGGGCTCCTGCAGGTAGCAGGTGCCTTGTTGCTATTGGTGAAGATAATGTTATTATTGTGGATGCTGAATGAGGAATTTAGGCTCAGTATAGGCAGTCAGGCAGTCAGGTAGGGTCATGGTGTCCCGACCCAAGTAAAACTCAGTAAACTCAGGGTGCCAAAGCAGCAGACCAAAGCTCATTCTAGGGAGAACAGATCGAGCAACTTGGGAGACCCAGTGGGCCTAAACCAGTCAACAAGAGACAATGCCCAGACAGTCAGAGTCTGAACCCCCAACCCATGCTCTCCATACTCACAAAAACTGCTTCTTGTCCCCTCAGTGGCCACCCCCTGGGGAAAGAAGAGCTTTCCTGTCTTTCTCAGACAATGAATTGCTGCTTCTCTAACTCTGGTCTGGAAGTTGAATTCTCTCCTTATGGAGGTGAGAACTAAGAGCCCCCCCCTTGGGGCCTGGTTTCCAGGCTCCAAGCCCAATTCATTGCTACCTGTAGTTTGGCATGGCCAATCTGTCTAGGCATGCATTTGGGGTCAAATTTGAAATAATTCTTTGTATCAACAATTATGAAATAATTCTTTATGTCAACATCCCATGGGGGATGTCAGTAACAGGGCTGTGCTGTGTTTTGAACACCTAGAAGTGTTGGTGTTACAGTGTAGGCATTATAGTGCCCAGCATTCAGCCCATTAGACAAGACAGATGAGGCCTATGAGGGAGGGGGGTGTCAATCTGGAGTTATTAGAATATTACATGTGTTGACTTTTTTTAAGGGTTGGAGGAAGGATCTATTCAACATAGATATTTTATCCAAATGTTGAGTAAATGAAGATACTAGTAAAACATTTAGATGTTTTTAGATTATAGTAATGCCTTTAAATTTGTTTTTAAACAGATTGTATTTGTTTACAGTGAGTTCAATTGCTTATAGTTATGTCCTTATAACCTAAGTTTGGCAAAGGATCTGCATATTATTTACTATAAAGGCTGTATAATTCTGAACATACATACTTAACAGTGTGTATGTATACTCATACACTTGAATAATTGTTACCCGCTTGAGTTTCAGGGCCTGACTGAATAAGACTATCCTTTTTCCTGTGTACATAATTGGGTGGTGATTTGAATTGTTTTCTTTTTGCTTTTTCTGGTAAATCATT